CTTCAGCAGATGGCTGTTGAGAGGTTTAAAGAGACAGTATCACTTTTGTTTGGCCTACAGTGGCTGTTTGTTCTAAACTCATAAAAACAAATCTCTGTGACAGTCCATCCCCTTAACATAATCGAACCTTCTGGCTTATACTTTTAAAGAAAGGTAATTGAATATCTGAAAACTTCATTCTAATTTAAACAGTAATTTCTATAAAGCTACACATTTTTATTTGTGGTTAAGGGCCTATTTTTCCTCAGTGGTTGATTTTATTGTGATAAAAGTGAGATGTGAGTAATCAGGCCAGCAGGAGGATGCTGTGTCTCTAATCTGTAGCCTTCCACTAAAGCAGCAGTTTTACTGTAGCCAGAGATAGTAAGAACTGCAGATGCTGGAGTCTGAGATAACAAGGTGTGGAGGTGAAGGAACACAGCAGGCCAGGCAGCATCAGAGGAGCAGGAAAGCTGACGTTTCGGGTCGGGACTGTTCTTCAGAAATACTGTAGTTACTGATTTCAAACCAGAACCTTCAGCAATGGCGATAAGTGCATCGATTGCCAACTCATCCTTTTAATTAAATAACAAGCCAGCATGCCTGTATCCAATATGTGGAGACATACTGAGATGGTATCTCAAGTAGTTATGCTGTATAGGATACACATGAAGCATAAACTAGCACTTTCCCTTTCCCCCGTCCTTATTAAAAAAGTTGTTTTCTCTTTTGTGGCCAGTTAGTGACTTGCGATACAAGGACCCACCCACTAGGGGTTTAGGTAGAGACTTCTAAATAATGCACAATCCTTCCAAACGCAGCCCCTACAACCTCTATGCAAACTGTGTGATGCATTCCCAAAGGAGGTGAAGGAATCTCAACCAAATTCTCCCCTAGACAACATTCGAATTTCTATGTCATTTTTGCTGCATTCCACTTAATGTTGAACACCTTTTAACATTATAATTGTTCACTTTTTCTAACTTATTTAGTCTTATGATAAGAAAGATTCAACAGAGTTCCCTGTTCACAATGTGCTAGTGAATCAAAGATAGTTGACATTAAGCCACATCAAACGTAGAATAATTGCAGCTTTTACCTATAACTTCATCACCATATGCATTCTTCATCTCTGTATTAGGAATTTTTGAGTTGGCCTTGCAAATTCTGTCACCAACTCTTTTTTTTCTTTCATTTCTCACTCACAACACATCACTGAATCTACTATCCAAAGGATAGACTGGGCATTGTTTAACACATTGTTCTACAGGAATGATCATGAAGTGGGGTTATATGGGAACTGGCATTGGAAGCAGTCCACAAAAGGTTCACTAGTTTAGTCCCAAATATGGAGGAGAAATTTGCTTATGAGAATAGGTCAAGTCATTTTAGAAGACTTTAGAAGAATGAAAGATGACCTTATTGTAACATACTCGATTCTTAGGGTGCTTGAGAGGGTCAATGTGGAAAGGTGGTTTCTCCTTGCGGGAGAGAGGCTGGAAAGTGGAGTTGAGGATTATCAGATCTCATTTGTCTGGGGCCTGAATGGCCTATTTCTACTCCTATATCTTATGATCACACAGCAACATTCAGAACCTCACATCTGTTCTGTCATTCACTGAGATCAAGGCTGAACTGTGACCTAACTCTAACTCACCTATGCCCAAAATCTCACAATACCTTTGGATGACAAAATACAATCAATCTCTGATTTAAAATTTACAATTGGTCCAGCTTCAATTGTCATCAGCAGGAGAGCTCCAAACTTGCACTAGTGTTTGCATATCAAAGTGTTTTCTAATTTCACTCCCAGACCACCGTGCACATAGAGTACTATGAGCAATTCAAGGCACTAAATCTAATGAAGGACTTTGGAGAAAGAGCGGTATTAATTTACCAAAATAATACCAGGATGTGAAGATTTAAATTAAGGTTGAAGTGAATTATAAAAGTAGGGAATTTAACAAAGTTAAGGGGTGACTTAATTGAAGGAAATTACGAGGAACAATTAGGGCCTGTCGAGGAAAACTACTTTTGCTGGTTACAGAGGAAAAGCCTAAAAATGGGAGCTAGACCTTTCCTTACTCTTAAATAGAAACCAAAAGAACTGCAGATTCTGTAAATCAAAAACAAAAACAGAAATTGCTGGTAAAGCTCGTGACATCTGGCAGCATCTGTGAAGAGAAATCAGAGGTAACATTTTGGATCCAGCCAGGAGCTACCATCAGTTCTGAGGAAGGGTCACTCGACTCTGAAACGTTAACACTGATTTCTCTCCAAAGACCCTGCCAGACGTCCTGAGCTTTACCAGCAATTTCTTTTTCTGTTTCTTTCCTTACTCTTAATGGTTCATTACATCCTGCCACATTGTAAAGTGCTGGAACACTTTAAAATCTTAAAGGTACTATATAAATGCAATTTATTGTCGATCTCATTTCCTAGTGTTAACATTCTCTTTCATATAAGAGCACAGAACCTTTGAAGAAATGTCCAAATTCCTGGGAAGCTTCACTGCTTTAGGGTTTTCTGAGCAAGCAGTTCACATATATACCAGCTGAGCTTACTTACACCATTTCCACCAAGATAATTAGAGTTTAGCAATTAGCAAGGAAATCAGTATGTTGGAAATTCATTGCAATGGGCTTTGAATATAGGAATAAAGATATTTTGCTGTAGCTGTACTCTGAATGTACAACAGCGAGAACGTGGTGAATAGTGGGCAGCTTTGTGCTTGTTTCCTCAGAAGGAATACATTTGCCTTTGAGGGAGTGCAAAGGAGGTTCATCAGATGAATCCCTGCGCTACTGAGGATAACTTGAGGGAACTAAAACAAAGTTGATGGAAAAGCTCAGCAGGTCTGGCAGCATCTGTGAAGGAAAAAACAGAGTTAACGGTTCAGGTCTAGTGATCCTTTTCCAGCAACTTTGTTTATGTTCCTGATTTACAGCATCTGCAGTTCATTTGGTTTTTATAAATTGAGGGAATGGGTCTTTATTCCCTGGAGTTTCAAAGAATGAGAGGTGATTTCATTGAAGCTTACCAAATTCATACAAGGCGCCACAGGGTGGATGTTGATAGAATGGTTCCCTGGGCTGATGGATCTCAAATCAGGGGCAGAATCTCAGAATAAGGGACAGGCCTTTTAAGATGGAGATGATGAATTTCTTCACTCAGCGGATGGTGAATCTTTGGAATTCTCTACCCTAGATGGCTGTGGAGGTTCAATCATTGAGTTTGTTGGAGACAGAAATCGCTAGAAATCAGGAGACTGATTATGGCATATGGAAACATTGTCAGAAAGTGGCATTGAGTTAGATGATCAGCAGCAATCTCACTTAGTGGCAGATCAGGCTCGAAGGGCTGAATGGCCTACTCCTGTACCTAGCTTCTTAAATGCAGAATATGAGCACGCTCACAAATTGCTGGCAAAGCTCTGCGGGGGAGGAAACCTGGACCCGAAACGTTAACTCGGATTTGCTGCCAAACCTGTAGAGGCTTTGTTGGTTTTTTTTTGGTTCTGATTTCCAGCATACGCAGTTCTTTCGGTTTTTATTTTATATTAACACATTCTCTGGTTTGGTTTTCGGGATTGGGGTGATGGTAAATGCAAAAACGCAGATAACGTAACCCAAAGAAACAGTGCAGGCCACATAAGGGATTTCCAGAGTGTACAAGCCAATGTTTTTTTTATAAAATGGAAAGGATCCAATGATTAAAGCCAAATTGAATCACTATTATTTACACTTGTACGGCACACACGTATATATTCTCTAACATAACTGCATAGATACTTTCCCTAAAAGGAAGCCTCTCGTTGAAAATAAACATATGCTAAGTCTGCTCAAAAAGCTCTCGTCTTGAAAAAGACAAGGAACATCATTTAAACGCCTTAGCAACATTTACATCTCCAAGGCCTTTGAAGACTCGATTTCCCCAATGGTCGCCTATCGCTCCTGATCCAACAACCTTCCTTGTCTGATTCTCGTCCCGATAAGGGGTTTGCAGGTTATGTGCTTGTAAATACTCGTCGCCGCTGCTGATTGCACCCAATGGGGCTTTTATTAAAAGCTGTTGACCGCTGATAGTTCTGGCTGTTAGGCGGAGTCTGTGCAAAAACAAAAATCCACTAGCCCGGACCTCCTGCTACCTCACCCGAACGTGTTGGATCAGTCCCAAGCCGAGCCCCATTTCATGTTATCCCGGCTCTGCCTTGGCACTTAAAGGGGCTGTGCATTACAACGCTGGCCAGGCGAGCAAAACAAACGTCTGAAACAGGCGCGCATTCCAATGCACTCAATCCTACACTGTCTGGGGAAATAATCCGGTTTTACATTTTCCTCTAGTGCTTATCACAAGCTGGGATCCCTGGTATTTTATTGACATCTCAACTAAAGGCGGCACTGGTCAATTCTGATGAAGGGTCATCTAGACTCGAGATGTTAGCCTTCTCTCTCTCTCTCTCTCTATGGATGCTGTCTGACCCACTGATGGTCCTGCATTTTGTTGTTTTCAGTACAGCTTCCAGTATCCGCAGTAATGTGCTCCTGCTGGTCAATTCTCGCTGTGTTTCTCTCCAACTAGGCTGAGGTTAGAATAATTTACTCCTATAGATAAAGGGCTTAGAAAGTGCAGCCACCAATTTCTCGTCTGAAAGTTGAGTTTCTCCAGCACTTTCTGATTTTGTGGTTAAAACCTAAGAACATAGAACAGTACAGCACAGTGCAGGCCCTTCGGCCCACGATGTTGTGCCGACCTATTATCCTAGTAAAATCAATCTACCCTGCATGCCCTACATTTTGCTATCCTCCCTGTGCCTATCCAAGGGTCGCTTAATAGTCTCTAAAGTATCTGACTCCACTACCACCGCCGGCAGCGCATTCCACACGCCCACCACTCTCTGTGTGAAGAGAGTAGGGATTTTGGATTTAAAATGAAATGTTTTGCCTTTATTGTCCCCACACCAGATTTGAAGTGGTTTAGCCTTCCCCTTTAAGGCTGGCCCGCCCCTTGCTGTTTGTGATTTGTCAGGCCGCCTGTCTATCAGGTTGGTCTCAGCAGGTTGGGTTGTGCTGGTCTCTTTGACTGATAGGTTGGGGCTGAAATTCTTTTAGAACTTTTCCTCTTTAGAACTTGTGTCGTCCCGTTTGCCGAGCAGTTGATAAACTCAAGCTACGCTGAATGGATTGGTATGGGGACAGGAAGCCGCTATCCTTTGGCTAAAAGGCTGTGTTCAGTTGCTGTTACGATGCTCGTTTTCTCTATGTGTCTGAGTTCAGGTAAGAAAACTGGAAAGCCAGCTTTTTTTGTCCCCCCACTCCTTATGCGTGTGCCTTGGCTAAACGACTTTTCTGGCAGGGTTTTTTTTTGGGGGGGAGGGAGGGATTGCTTGCAGCTGTTGGGGGAAAGGTTTTTGTTTTCAAATGTGGCTTGAAATTTGCAGGCTTTTCTGACGTTGTGTTTTTTTTGAAACTTGGAAGTTGTGGAAATTTCAAAGAAGTTGTAGACTCAACGTAGTTTATAAAAGTTGCCAAAAAGTATTTGGGAGTTGGTGTGGGAGCTTTCAACCGTTTTCGTTAAAGGGCCTGGAGTTATTTTTTTCCCAGTTTATTTTTCTTTAAAAGTTTGCAGAGATTTTGTTAGGTATTTCGCTAAAAGCAGCATTTTTGGAAAAGTTTTAGTCCCACTGTTGAGGAATTGAGTTAACTTTTCTCCTTGCTGTTCTCAGTGCATTGTCAGCAGTGCAGGATCCAGAGGTGTAACGCCGAGTTTGTAGCTGCGACTTCTCTCGGGACTGGATTACAAGAGGAAGGCGAGGGAACTGGCGGAGGGAACGGCGGCGATTTTTGCATCGCTCTCCGAGCCTACTCGCAATGTACCAGGAAGACGGCCAAGTACTGCCGGGGAAATCTGGTCTACCACTCGGCCGTGCTAGGCATCAGTGACCTGATGTTACAGCACAACTGCTCCAAGACGGGACCGACGGCTCCGGTCAGGCCGGCGGCCACAGAGAGGAGCCTTGTCCCCGAGCTCTGCCGCTACCGGAGCAAAGGCAACTCGCTGAGAGACGGCGTTCCTCAGCCGCCCAGGTTCGCGCACTGCGGCTTGTTCGGGGACCCGCACCTCAGGACCTTTCGGAACGAGTTTCAGACCTGCAAAGTGGAAGGAGCTTGGCCCCTGATCGACAACGTCTACCTTTCTGTGCAAGTCACCAATGTCCCGGTGGTAGAGGGGTCCAGCGCCACGGCCACGAGCAAGGTGTGTGTGTGTGTGTGTGTCTGTACCACAGGCACTGACAGGTTAACTC